CATAATGCTGAGAATATAACACGAGAAAATTAACTCGTTATCACGGAAAAAGGGAGGAAATAACATATATGAATGCATGGCCCTTTAAGGCTTCCGTAGCTAGGAGGAGCAGAGCGAACCTTTATTTTTTAAACAAAACGATTGAGTCATCTTCGCAGACATAGACGATCTGCATTGTGGCCTCTCAGCTCCACGTGTTCCGACAAACAGAAAAACGATCCAACTAAAAAAGTGCTGAAAAGGCACGTTCTTATTTCAGCAAGGTGCGTATTCCTGCAGCCTCGAGCACTCTTTTAGGCTGCCGGGCCCTCAGGACCGAACCGCGGCCGTCCTGGTCTCAAACTGCAGTCTGTGGACACTGTGAACCGAGCTGATCTCTGTGGCCGACTTGTTGCATTGTAATGAAGGCCTGCTTCTGCACTGCCTGTCCTGAGATGGAGAAAAAGTGCCCTCTGTAATTTCAGTTGTATTAGGCTGCAAAATAGTCCACTTCTCATATCATTAATAATACTAATAGTAAGATATTAAGGACATCTTAATAATAATAATAATAATTTATTTATAGTTTTCTTGTTTTCGTTATTGTTACACACCAGTCTAACAAGGCAAGTTCCTTGTATATCAAAACCTACTTAATAAACCTGATTCTGAATAACTAATAATAGTAAACTGCATTTTCTTTGCAGGCACACATACAACAATCTCAAGATGTTAGCTTTCAGCCATATTGCTTGGTCTTCATCAGATGGACCTGTTGACATATAATTTCATTCTCAGCACTTTTAGAGTTTTTTGTATGTGTTGCCTTAAAACATTAAGCATTAAAATGAAGCATTATTGACCCTGGAATGTTTGGAAAGTGGACAAAACGGTCCCAACTCAAGGCCCACTTACTAGCCTTTTCCAGACAGCTTTCATTTAGAGCTGGATAGAATCTAATAGCACATATTTAAAATATAATCTGGGCTGATTGTAGTTAGTCGGTCAACAGGCAACTGTTTTGGCAATCAACAGGGTTAGGTTGTAACTGATTACATGTAATCGGGATTATAAAAAATAAATTATTACAATCAGCCCAGATTATAATTGAAAAATGTGCGATTTACATTGTTAAGGATTTCTTGATAATTTTTTGATTCTCTTTAAAATATGGCAGTTTCAGAATTATGAACTTTGTTTCAGGTGTCTGAAAGGTGCATCTGGTCTCACATTCGGGGTTTCTTCCACCAGGAAAGGAATGGCGTTGAGTCAGAATGGAAAGTTCGAGCAGCAGCAGTCCCTCAAAAATAGCCTAATTCCTGGAAATATCGACATCACCTCTTAAAAAATGTGTCAATTTCTTTAGTACAACTAATGATTACAATATATTTGAAATAATCCAAAATTATTCAGATTGGATGACACTGGTTTTTATAATCCAATAGATTATGTCACAAATTAAAAAAATTGCCAATTTTGTGGGAAAAGTAATTTGAGTAGTAGTGTAACTAATTACTTTGGTAGGTAACATGAGTAGTAAATGAAATTTTTTGAGTAACTAGCCCAACACTAGAGATCAAGTGTGCAGCAGTTGCACTTTGACCCATTCTTTCCTGTATTCTGTGATCAGACATACAAAGACTGTTTAGGGCTGCAGCATATAGCAAAAATAGCATTGTTGCAATGATCATTGTTGCAGCAGTTTCATTATCACTAAAAAAACAATTAAAATCGTGATGATGTGACATTAGTTGGGGTCTGTAGCACACATGTTTTCTTACATCTGGAGAACAAGATTTGTAGGTCAGGTAATCATTGCAACACTACAGCCCCAGCCCAACACTGTTATGTTTCTGTACCTGACCTGTACAGCCTATCTTTGGGCTTAACCTTCACTAAGTGCTGACTTAGTGCAGGCTGTTTAGTCCATCGGATCCCAACCTGGGGATCAGGGCCCAAAAGGGGGTCCCAAAAAAAACCTGACTGGTCACCAAATGGTTAAAGCCTCTAGAAAGGAAGAAAACAAAATCTGTTGAACAAAATTAAGAAGATGTTTTCTGACTTTTCTCTTTCTTGTAAAATACAGGATACTTTGAACTCCTCAGGAATGAGCCCTTAACCTGTACGTAACCTCTGATCACAAGCAAACATAAATAAAAAGAAGGGTCAGAGCGCTGCCTGAAAAGAAAAGAGTTAATTTGACATGCAGGCAACAATAAAAACAGCAACAAGCCCATTTTAAGAACATCAACATTTATTTCACATGATATAAAACAGATGGGGTATGAACTTTTTGCATATTGACCCTAATAATATTAATAATAACCTCTTATAGTTATAATATTCGCTCTTTTTTTGTGTGTACATAAATTAAGCTATTTTTTTTTTTTTTTTTTTTTTTTTTTTACAGTTTATACATCTCTTTTAAATGTCTTTTATATCCTGGAGCTCCAAAGTCCTACTTATTGCTTCGTACGTGTGCTATTCTCCGATTCATCACCACCTACAGGACAGAGTCAAACGCAAAATGTCTCATCCGTGACGCATCCTCAGCCTCTTTACTGTATATCCTCTAAGTAATGTAAACCAAAGAGAAAAAACAAAACAAATAAAAAGGGACAAAAAGCAGACTGTAAAATCCAAAACGCTCACATACTGTGTGTCATCAGGAGATTCAGACTGTCTGCTCCACATAAATAATCACAACTCCTGCAAAATACTTAGTTCTGTCCCAAAAAAAAGAGAAAACAGCAGCATGAAGTGGCACCTTGTTGAAGTAAAAATCTGCTTTATGTTCATATATATACTTTTTATATATTTATATATATCTATATATATATATATATATCCAATGAAGGACAATCTGTTATGTTGCAGGTGCAAAAGATGTGAAAATAGAGCAATAAAGGAGCCTCCGGTCTGAACACAAAGAATTAAAATCAAGAGCATTGGCGGTCACTTTGGGGTTAAAGTAAAGCACTGCATGTGTGTCGAGTTTTGGTACTCAGCCCATCAGGTGCTCCTATATACAGCTGTACACTCGCCTCCAGCAACAGCTAATACCCCCTCCTCCAGATCAGTAGAATATTCTAATAATTATCATGTTAAAGATGACTGCAATACTTAGTAAGGTATCAAAGGTCTGTATATTGATGTGTGTGTGTGTATTTGGCAACACGTTTCTATGGAGCTAAATTATACCCCCAAAACAAGCTGTACATACAGTCAAGATTGTGAAATGGTTTGATTTGATATATTTATACCACCAAAATATGAACTACAGCAACAACAACAAAAGAAGAAGAGAAGAGAAGATAAATGAGACCTAATTAGGGTCTGTGGTTCGCTGGCTGACCCAAGGATGGGGAAGACAGAACAGGACAGAGTTCCTTTCCGTCTATTCACCCTGACTGGATAAATTGATAAATACAGTTTTTGACAGCAAGCTAATCAAAGTCTATGTTGTGATCAGCATTTTATGGCAGGGGGATCCCACCCCAGGTAACTTCTGCCGTCCGATATTCTGTTTTTATGAATAAATATGGAATTGTACGCGTTTCTTCTCAAAACTTCTACACTCCTGCCGGCTGCTGCGATGCGATTTGACATAATCCCACCCATTGTTCATCAACGACGTCACAATGTGTGCGCGCCACAAGTTGGTTGAAGTAAGCGGCGGCCTTAGCAAAACTAACACACATGCATGATTACGCATCGTTACTCACTACATCTTCAGTAACATAGGCATACGTCTGTTTCAGTGCATATGCCCCCCACCCCCTGCTCGTGCCTTGAAATTATGGCCCCCTCTTGTTAACTAGCTAGTTAACTAATCTACATCAATTTAGTTACAGCTGTTAACTAATGTTAGTAAAATGCTAGCTAACTAGATAGCTAATGATTGATGTGAATTAGCTAGCTAACATAAGATGGGAATTCCACTTTTATCTTTCAACCGTCTTTAAAATGCACTTGTCTTTTCAACATAGATTAGCCTACTACATAGCATATCTAAGTAAACGAAAGGAGAAAGTTGACCGAGGTTCTGACCGAGACTTGCTCAACTGTTATTGGAGCACATAGCAAAAAGGGGCGGGGCTTAGAAAGGGTCAATTCTGACTGCAAATACACACCAAAGACAGGGAGGTGGTGGTATGGAGTCAGGCTATGAGCTCTGCAAAATTTGGATCACCTACCCTCTATGCTGTGCCTGAATGCATCCTGTGCTCCATCCTAACTATGCTGCTCTATGGCCCAGAGATCATACTGGTTGTACTGGGCAGCCACCACATGTTCAATTGTGTGAATGTGGAGCTTGGTGTTCCTTCCAAACAGCATCTGTGTTCAGGAAACCAACCGTCTGTAAAGATTAAAAACTCTACTGGATACACAGGTAATAAAAACTCTAGAAACACTTTTAAAAAGCTCTGCCTTTCTGAAAGGACACAAAACAGACACACAGACACCAGCCCTACAACAGACTATCATGTAGGTCAAGTAGTTTCAGAAATCTTTTGACTCTTGTGCGAGACACTCCTTGGTCTACCACTTCCTCTTCACTTATAGACCTTGTGTGCCTGCGTGTTACTGCACAGCCGGAGAGGAAAAGGGTTTGTTGCATAAAAAAATTAACTTTTTTTAAAACTCAGATTTTATGCAGATTGTGGTGTGTCTTCTTTATCAGTAACTCCAGGATTTGACAGGCTTTTTTTGGGATTGTTCCGGCCTAAAATGCCTGAATCATAACCCCTTATTGTGATTTTGTGTGTTTTCTTGCCAACACACAAACTGACTTATATGGTGACAGATTTTACAACTCTCAAGACTAAAGACAACTAAACCATTTCACAATGTTATTTTTATGCAGAAATGTTTTGGGACAAATGTGACTCCATAGAGTTGGTGTTTTGCTCAGGGACATATCAGTATGGACAGATACTAACAGGAGCTAAAGGTACAGTACATCTGCCTGTCTCTGTGTCTGGATGTGATGGCAGTCCATCTGTGCTCTCAGCAGGGCTGCCGTCCTCTCAGTCTCCTCGCGGGCATGTAACAGTAGTATCAAAGTTGTAAACGCAGGAAGCCGTGGAGCATGCTCGGTGCAGGCTTGGCTACATTTGGGCTTTTTACGGGACGCCGGTGTGCATGTGGAGGTCGACGTCGCTCACGTGTCGCTGCTCACCAAGGTGAACGTCTGCGCTGCAGGGAGGAGGAGGAGGAGAGAGGGAGGGTGGAAATAAAGAGTCACTGAGAGATTCCACAGGGATGAGAACTAGTTACACTGGTATTTTTTTACTTTCACTTTGTACTTCACCCAGATATTGAACAAACAAAAAACTATTTCCAAAACTTTTCCTTCAGGCGTAGTGCATGTTTGGCACTTATCTATGTGTTAAGCTAAGATTTAAAGAGGCACTTGTGTTCTGCTTACTAAATCATTTAACAGCAAAATACAACAGAATTATAAAGCCTAATGGGTGATCTCTTCTAGACCACTGGTTCCCTACTTGGGGGTCCTTACCCCCACTAGGGGTCACCAAAACTTCATGGTGGGTCGTGAGGCCTTCTTGATTTTAAGGGCTGTAGGCCCTCAGCATTTCCTTCATTTCTGTGAAGAAAACTAAATTATCTTTTAAATAATAAAGATTATTACTTAAGATATAAACAGGGCACATTGAAGACCTGGGCAACAAGCTATATTCACAGAGCCTTCACTCTCTGATAAACAGCCTTCCTGCATTAGAAAAGTTCAAACAACCAAAGAGCTGATAGTACGATTGATAAAATAAAATAAAACTACATAATACACAGAGAGAAAAGTTGCTAAAATATCAGAAAAACTCATCTCTGATAAATATTCAGAGGAAATAATCTGCTCAAATCTTTAGCTCTGGTTTTACACAAACGTCCAGCAGGTATTGTGTTCCCTGTTTGGGTTCATTGTACAGTTTATCAGTTCTTCTCTACTGTTATTGTTATTATTGAATATAATATGAAATATCCATAAAACTACCTCACTTAGTTTACTCAATGACAGAAAAGGGTGGGAA